TACATTCCAAGAGCACTGTTTTTGACACCATGGAATCCCATACTGCAACTCAAACTCAATTTATCTATCCAGATCTTTCTTTTTTCTTTCTTTCTTTCTTTCTTTCTTTCTTTCTTTCACAGTCATTTCTTTCTTTCTATGTATAGATCTGTCATAATCTTTTCATTTTCTTTCTTTGTTTTCTTTCTTTCTTTCGATCACAGTATGTTTTCTTTTTTCTATCTATCTATCTATCTATCTATCTATCTATCTATCTATCTATCTATCTATCTATTACAGTCTTTTTTTTTCTTTCTTTCTTTCACAGTCTTTTTATTTCTTTCTATCTATGGATCTATCATAATATTTTCTCTTCTTCCTTTCTTTCTATCACAGACTGTATCTTTTTTCTATCTATCTATCTATCTATCTATCTATCTATCTATCTATCTATCTATCTATTACAGTCTTTTTTTTTCTTTCTTTCTTTCACAGTCGTTTTATTTCATTCTATCTATGGATCTATCATAATATTTTCTCTTCTTCCTTTCTTTCTATCACAGTCTGTATCTTTTTCTATCTATCTATCTATCTATCTATCTATCTATCTATCTATCTATCTATCTATCTATCTATTACAGTCCTTTTTTTCCTTTCTTTCTTTCACAGTCGTTTTATTTCTTTCTATCTATGGATCTATCATAATCTTTTTCTCTTCTTCCTTTCTTTCTATCACAGTCTGTTTCTTTTTCTATCTATCTATCTATCTATCTATCTATCTATCTATCTATCTATCTATCTACATTCTGTATTACAGTCTTTCGTTCTTTCTTTTCCTTCTGAGACAGCATTTTTCTTTCTTTCAATCTATCTATATCTCTCTCGGCATATATATATATATATATATATATATATATATATATATATATATCACTATTTTTCTTTCTTTTTTTCTATCGGCACATTTTAGCATACAACATCTTGCATTCCCAAATATTAACCAATCTATGTAATGATTGGTCTCATCGTTGGTTAACTTCGGTGATTGTACACCAACTGGTATTTCCGTATGATGTGACAGTACGCCTATATTGTGTTGAAGACACTGTTTATATTTTTAACATAGGCAGATTTGCTGAGAGTTAAAACTTTACAAAGAAAACTGGGTTTCGAAGTTCAATATTTCCACCAGTGTTTATCTGATTTAAACCCCGCTGAATCACAATGAGCAAGAATGGATCAAGTTGCATGATACTTTGTCTCCTCTAAAGCAAAATTCAAAACGGACAATTTAGTGACTGACAATTCTGCATCGTCTCTGTCTGTCTCTCTCTCTCTCTCTGATATATATATATATATATATATATATATATATATATATATATATATATATATATATGTGTGTGTGTGTGTGTATATAGTGTATGATGAACAATTCATCATATATATATATATATATATATATATATAATTATTTATTCGAAAATTATAACATAAATATGTTATAAAATCACTACAAAATAGCCATTTTGTTTCAAACTTCTGTGTATTTTCAAAAAATTTTATTGCTGGTAACCAAAAATTGTATGGTAATATTTTTCAAATTTTTATTACTGGTAACATTTTGTTCAAAATTTTAACTAATATTTTTTTAAAATTGTACAGTACGCCTATATTTTTTTGAATTGGACACTGGTAATTTTTTTTTCAAAATTTTATTGCTGGTAATATTTTTTTTTTCAAAATTATATTGCTGTTAATAATTTTATCAAAATCGTATTGCTGGTACTATTGTATTGCTGGTAATAATTTTTTTACAAAGTATTTCTGGTAATAATAATAAAAAAAAAATTAACTATTATACCGGGGACCCTAACGGGTGCTACCATTGCGTGTCAGTGTAGGCCTGGGAAGACCAGCAATTAAGATGTTTTAAGCCCCTCAGAAGCTCCTTATCAAAGACCTTACTTTTGGGCGTAGTTTATCGTCTTACCCTGGACAGGGATGTAGTTTATTGTCATACCCAGGACGGATACCCTTTTGAGAACGATCATATTGATAGAAACAGGAAACAATATATATATTATATATATAAATAGGCATATATGTTGTCGATTCATGTCTCTACTGGAATTTTAAAGAGAAATTTTTGGCGTTGTTCCTCATCTAATTGCAACAGAACTGAGGCGAATTAAGTTGATCAGATTATATATGATAATAAATAACGTTTTTAACAGCTTTTTTCGAAAATTATAACGGGTAGTTCAAATATGTTAGGAAAAAACTCACGGAATTTTGTACTGGTGACAATTTCTCAGATCAAAGAACAAGTACAAATGTAACTTGCACTTGGATGGTTAACAAAAAGAGAGGATATTATTTTAAACAAGATTGGATGTTAAAACCATGCGCAGAAACAGGTGTAAAATTCATTACAGAGCTGAAAATAGATTTTCTTCAAATAAATAGAAATATATATCACATTTTTCTAATGACTTGTGCATACACAAGTGTTATTCAATGGTGCGTATATACGCGAGTATACGGGTATCTATCTATCATCGTCTTTTTATTTATTTCTATTTTTATCAATCACAGTCTTCGTTTTCTTTCTTTCTTTCTTTCTTTCTTTCCATCTATCATAGTCTTTTTCTTTCCTTCTATAACAGTCTTTTAATCTATCTATCTATCTATCTATCTATCTATCTATCTATCTATCTATCTATCACAGTTGTGTTTTCTTTCATTCTTCTTTCAAAGTCTCTTCCATCCATTAGATCTATCTATCTCTGTTCCTATTTGTCTATATATGCAAAAAGAGAAGTCATATATATATGTGTGTAAAAGCACAAAGAAATATAGATTCAGATACGAATTCTATCATCGTGAAATTATACTGTCAGATTTAATTCTATTTATATGTTTCTAGTGTGACAGAAATAAACCTATTCCCACACACGCGCAGACACACAGAGACACACACATCCATATATATCATTGACGATATGTCATAGAATCTATGTCGAATGAAACGTATTTTTGTCAACACCTGTTTTCTATAACTGTTGACTATTCTGGCCCATGACGCAAATTCTGATAAGTCAAATTAATAGAAACTATTCTTTAACATATTTGTGTGCATCTCTCTTCAACAATTGCTTTCAATTATTCGATATTTGACGGTTTTATACTGCAAATTTAACATTTTTCTATATTGTCATAAATATGTCTCGTGTCGTTGAACGTGGACTGTACTTTATCGAACCATTTTGTCCAAACAACCAGTTAAAAACTGAAGGCGAATTACTTGCATCAACAGATTCGGTTAATCATTCAAGATCTCTTGAATGGAGGTAATGACAGATTATCCAAATAGTTCAAGTAAACCGGAATAATCACAGAACAATCAATAAAATCCGGTCTAATAGTCACTTTGATGCCTAGGGAATTACACTGAAAACACGAAACTTTGACGCATTGAGTTTTGTAGTGACTACTGTGTCGTTTATTTTTTCATGCATTCTTACCAAAAGGAAGAGCCTAATATATAGGTAATGTAACGAGATCGCTGCGTATAGTCTGATGGATGGTTAACTTGACGAAAAAGAAAATTTTATCGCCAAAATGTCAATGTTTGGATGTTAAAAGTAAAGAACAAAGTAAGGTTTTAAAATTTTCTGTCTTTATTACAACATTCTAGATTTTCTTCAAAAAACCGGAAAATAGTAAATCATGGCGATTTTTTTAATGATTTTTTTTTCTTATGACACATTAATTTTGAAAAATTCAAAAATAGAAATAATTGTCAGATTTTAATGAAACTTTCAGAAACTATTCAGAAATGATGGAAATTTTATAAATATGTTTTTTTTTAAAAGTCATTATAAAATATATTTTTTATACATATATTACCACCCCTTTGAATTAAAAAAACTTAAAAGTTTATGGATCTATCATAGTCATTTTTAATAAAAACACAAGGCTTTCTATAAACAGTCTTTTTAAAAATCGAACTATAAACCGAAAATCATCTATGAATTGTAACATACAAAACCCAATAAAACAAAAAATACTATTTAATTTTAAATGCACAGTTGCTTTTATTTTTTTTATCAATATCATAATATTGTCTGAAGGCAAAAGTCTTTTCCATGAAATTAGAATTTTTTAAATGAATTAATTGTTATTTAATAAATTATTTTTATATTTGCAAAAGTTAGTAAAAGTTGTTAAATATTCTAAAAGCACAAAAGATCCTGTATATAATGCTATTTTCAGATATCGAATTATAAATATCATTTTGAAATCAACGAAAACTGTCAATTTAGAATAATCTTACTGTGTTTAACCTAGTGTGAAAAAAATCTTAAATTCCCACACACGCGCGGAAAAACATGATCCAATAAAAACACACACTTGATTTGTACGGCACTGTTAACGGCCTTTATATTTATATAAAATTATTTAAAAATTTATAATATTTTTTCCAGCATTCCTGTTTCTTTAAAATCTGACAATTATTTCTATTTTGGCAAGATTGACGCAAATTGTGATAAGAAAAAATGAACAAAAAATTTATTATTTAACAAATTCCGGTGATGACGAGAATCGAGATTTTTCAATCAAAATTTAAAACGTTCTAATAAAGACAGAAAATTTTTAAAAATAATGACGGTTTTATACCGCAAATTTAATATTTTTCTATATTGTCATAAAAATTCTGATTTCGTCAAGTTTGAACTGTTTTTTGGACTGTACTTAAAAATAACGAAAATAAGTTTTGTAAAAATAAAAACCTACGACCTTCCGTACTATAAATCTCATGAAGGTAGAATTGATGAAAATCAACTTGTCATTTGTCAAAACAAGTTAGATCCCATTTAGAAAAAAACAAGTTTTCATCTTGAAAAATGCAATCTTTGTTTCAAAATGACTAAATAAACTTTCTAATTTATAATCTTTTTTTTTAAATTAGTTAAAAAAAAATGATAATTGATTTTTAAATAAATTTTAAAGAACAATCTCTTTTGTAAAAGAAATCAAAAAAAATTTTCCGATTCAAAAAAATTGAAGATTTTAACGAAAATTTTGATGCCTAGTAGAATTATTAAAAAATTTTAAAAAATATTCAAAAATACTTTGATCATTCCTTTTGCATTAACATTCATTTTAAAAATTATTTTAATCTAATTTGTCGTTTTTTTATTCATGCATTATTTTTTATCGATCTCAGCCTAATATACAAATTACAACACGGAGATAGCCAAATAAGGCAACTGCAAGAATTTAAATATATGAGAAGCGTTTTAATATAAGCATGGAAAATGACACACTGAAATTCAAAAGCGTCGCGGGATAGCGAAAGATATCTTCCCAAGCTAAATATAAAGCAACAGAAAATTTCGTTTGAAACAAAGAAAAGTGTACGAAACAGTTACGTAATATCAGTCTTCCTCACAGATGAAAAAGAGACGAAGTAACAATGATGTGGCTCTACAGAAGGATGCTGAGAATAGAACGGACCTAACATGTGAACAACGACGAAGTTATAGAGAAAAAGCAAAAAAAAAAAAAAAAAAAAAAACAAACAAAAACAACAAAAGAAAAACACTTTTTTAACATCAATTGCTTAATGAGGAAAGAACATTGGAAGTGTGGTAGCGACTATCGTTATCAAATTCCAGGATAGATCGAAGGCAAGAAGGACAGAGGAAAATAAGCATAACTTTCCTTGCGATATTGAGGGGGTGGATGGATAGCAAAGTAGTGTGTGTGGGAGGTGGCGAAAAGACAAAATTTACTACGAGCTATAAGGGACAGGAAGTTGGGGAGTGTCATGATAACAGTGTTCCTGAAGCGTCAGGGTGTATAGAATAATAATAATAATAATAATAATAATAATAATAATTATTATTATTATTATTATTATTAAGTTTAATCACTCTAAACAATCTTTGTTGGAAAAATGTCAACCTCTTCACATCTTTCTCGTACCCGTCAGTCAGTTATGTGCCATGCGTGATACATGCTTAGGCGGTTATTACTTATTTTAGATTATACAAAAAATAATTAAAGAGGAGGATGTAAAAATAATCCAAGTAAATTCTGCTGGATATGTCTATGTAACATTTAAAATAATACAAGAAATATTAACCCTTTAAAAAAATCTACAAATTGATTTTTTGGATCAAACTTGGCGACCAAGATAAATCATGGGCACCACATATCTGTCAAAGAACATGAAATAATCTTCCGATTTGGATTGCCAGTGAACCTCATAATCACGACACAGATTGTTACTTTTGCTTAGAAGGCGTCAGACAATCAGTTATGTACCATGCGTGATACACGTTTCGGCGATTATTTATCTTTTGATACATGACTGACGAGGCATATTTTTTTTCCAGCAGTAGGTTGTCAATTCTTTCTGCGGTAGACCACTTGCCATCCAAGACTATAGAACCTGGTCTGTTCTGCTATTTACCCATAGCTGCGGGGGAGAAGAACTGGGTATTAGTGGATATAACAAATTCAACTGGAATTTCAACTCGGCCCTCCGATTCTTCAATCCGAGTCGCTAACCATTACTCCAATGTATCCGTCACGAAACTGAATTCTTCGGTCTGCATCATCCTCATTTAGAGCATGTCCTATTTATAGAATGTAACACTTCGAATGACAGACTTCTATCTCTTGAATCTGCTTCCGGCACGGATTTCTTGAAATCTGACGAAATGTTTCACTTACCATTTCCTGCTTGGTGTCCTCTTCGATGTCTGCGGTTTTCTGGAACGTTCTGAACTTTTCTATTTACCTCAATTCCAAATGACGGTAAGTCCGTCCCATAAGTGAATCTGTTTGAAACTTTTTTTCCTGAAATATCTTCTCACACCACCTGCGTTTTCAAACTTAACTTCCAGCAGAACTTTCAAATTCCACTCTTTCTGAACAGTTTGTTTTCTAAATTTATTTCTAAATTCATAATTTATTTCTAAATTTATTTCTAAATTTATTTCTAAAGAATTAAAACTGAAAAATAAATTTTCAGGTGAGGGATACTAACTGACCGTTAGAGCCTTTTGAAATTAGCGTTCTCATAGTGATGATTTAAGATAGTGTGTTAAGACTTGTTTATTTTATCTTTGCTGCATATAATCCTATAATTATTTATAATTTATATCATTTCAATTCTTAAGTTGGAAAATGATAAAAAAAAAAATTAAAAATTATATTAAATAAAAATATTGAAATTCTATAACCAATCAGGAAGGATAACCCCTTTTTTCATAAAATACAATTGTTAGACCATTTAAACTGCTGTTTTATGAAATAGACTAAATACTCACGATGTTAGCATAATATTAGGCTAAGACTATATATCTAATGTGTTTGGCAACTAGCTTTAAACTTACAAAGGTGAAATTGCATATACACACGCTATGGACATCTTGAGGCGGTGTAATGATTAGTAACCTTGCCTGGCTAGAACAATTACGACTGAGTACTGAGTTCAATTTTTACTGAGTGCCCCATTCTTACGGCCTTGTGTTACATCTAATCTATACTTAGAAAATCGATACGGGGCACCTCGAGGTGGTGTAATGATTAGCAAGCTTGTCTCACTAAAACAATTACGATTGAGTACTGAGTTCGTTACTCACTAGGTATCACCTTCTTTCGGTCTTGTGCCACATCTAAGCTATTCTTGGAAAATCACTATACACACGTTATAAATTAATTGAGTACGATAATATGGGATTAGATGTTTGTATAGATATAAAAAAATATTATTAACGACGGGTTCTATGAATATTAATATGTGTTACATATATTAAGATTCGTGAAATCTATTTTAATCGGCGTCAATATGTTTGAGCAGATGTTTGGTTTTATGGATACATGTAGCGATTAGTTCACTCCCCGTGTTCAGCAATTAGGATTATTTATGTTCTTTAAAATAATAAATTTCTCCAGCAAACGGAAGTTACATCTGTCTCCCTTATTATTGCATGGTTTTGTTTTCGCGATTATATCTCAGCTAATGGTTGAGTTCTTATAGCATTTTTTTAATTGCGAAACATATTTGAAAGTGTTGTCCTGTTTTTGTACTATGCGTGTGTGTGTAATTTCATCTTTGTAAGTAAAAAGCTAGGTTCTCAAAACATTAGATATATAGTCTTAACCTGTTATTGTATTAACAATGTGTGTACTTAGTCGTGCTATCGATATTGGATATGATGTATATCACTAATATATATATATATATATATATATATATATATATATATATATATATATATATATATATATATATATATATTCTGTATATATCATTTTACATGCGCAGTACTTCTTGGAAAGTTCTCAATATAAGTGAAGAGCTAACATATTCAGTTGTATGGACGGATGTATGCATGTATGTATGCACGCACGCACAGACACACCCACACGCTGTCATATTTTATTAAAAAACTTTCCTCAGGGGACAGATCGTATTGTTCTAAAAAATCCCATGTATCTTTTTATTATTTATATTGTCTTGATTGATATTTACGTATCTGAAATTCTCCACAAACACACTCACGCATACACAGACACACACACACACACACACACACATATATATATATATATATATATATATATATATATATACACACACATATATATATATATATATATATATATATATGTATATATATATGTACGTGTATATATATATATATATATACACACACATATATATATATATATATATATATATATATATATATATAGATAGATAGATAGATAGATAGATAGATAGATAGATAGATGGATGCTTATTTGAGGTTCAGTAAGTTTTATATTAAAAAAGGAATATTTCAGGAGTATGAAATCATTAACGACATGTGGTTTTGGATGATATTTTTCGTATCTGTTGTAGAATTTTAAATAAATGAATATTTGTTTCGTCCTATAACTCCTTCTATACGGCAGTAAATGCTGGCCACAGATGAATAAATAACTTGCGGCAACTTAACTGTGTTTCTACAGAATTTTGTTAAAAATTTAATAGGCCAAACAAACAATTTGAATTGGCATTTGTAGGGCACATAATGAGCAAATGTAGCTTGGACAATTTGATACTCACAGGGCAGATTGAAGCCAAGACGGACAGACGGCAAGACGGACTCACAGGGCATATTGAAGCCAAGACGGATAGACGGCAAGACGGACTCACAGGGCAGATTGAAGGCAAGACGGACAGACGGCAAGACGGACAGACGGCAAGACGGACTCACAGGGCAGATTGAAGCCAAGACGGACAGACGGCAAGACGGACTCACAGGGCAGATTGAAGCCAAGACGGACAGACGGCAAGACGGACTCACAGGACAGGGCAGATTGAAGCCAAGACGGATAGACGGCAAGACGGACTCACAGGGCAGATTGAAGCCAAGACGGACAGACGGCAAGACGGACTCACAGGGCAGATTGAAGCCAAGACGGATAGACGGCAAGACGGACTCACAGGGCAGATTGAAGCCAAGACGGATAGACGGCAAGACGGACTCACAGGGCAGATTGAAGCCAAGACGGATAGACGGCAAGACGGACTCACAGGGCAGATTGAAGCCAAGACGGACAGAGGATATCAACGCAAAACATATCTAGTGGGCTAAGTAAATGAAAGGCAGAACAGAGATAATGGCAGACAAGTGAAAACAAAAATTCAACATTCATTAAAGAGTTACAACAGAGAGGAAATTGTGTAGAGCCATAATCGCCAACGTCCTGCGTGGACACGGCAGTAGAAGAAAAAGAAGAAAAGAAGAAGAATGTATCCCTTTTCTTCTCCTTAATTAATTCTTGCAATATAGCGCCGGTTTATTTGTTCGTATAGTATATATTTTTTTCTTAGAAATATATTTAGGCCTACTTATTTACGTCTGGTACGGTCTTCATTTTTTCACTTCAAACGGTTTACTGATGTCGAATATAACACTGTCTGACCGGGTATTCATTTATTTGAATTGTA